AAAAAGAAAAAAAAAGTGTTCACATTTTACTCAGATATATAGTGGTCACCTACTTTCTGGCTTCGAGCAAGAATTGCGAGAAGACGGGGTAATTATGAGCCCGTTGAGTCTCACAACATGCATAGTCAGAGGCCATTTTAAAGACGAAATTTTTTGCTTGACTAAGCATACCCGTACAAATAGCTCTAACAATCATCTTATCAACGCAAAAACTATCTAACGGAAAAAAGGCGCTAAAAAATCTATTTTATATATGCTGCATGTGGCTATGCCCACGCTGCATATCGATATATATTTGGCGCTACAGAAATTTAACACGAAATCGCTATATTTGGTATAATAATTAGTCAGTGCTTTCAGATCTATGAATTTAACTATTAACGGTAACGGTAAAAAATTACGCGATGAATCTCATTAACCATCTATCAACAGCACTTAAACAGTGGCTTAGACAATTTTACATGTGTTTATTAAGAAAAAGCCAATAGCACTTCAACAGTGGCTTATCTAGAATCTATTAATATGTATTCAGTAAACATACATGTGCGCTATTTTAATACATGTAGCGGTAATTTCTGTTAGACTATTTCTGTCATACTATCATATGATTTAACGGTCCCACAGGTCCGCTAAGCAGGCGAGTAATATGTTATTTCGTAGTATAAATTGAGGGTATTCTTCTGCGTAATCTTTATATAAAATATTGGCAGAAGAATACCCTCACTTAACGTTAATATTTAGGTTTGTCAGTTCAAATGAGCGATAGAAACTTGACCGGCTTTAATAATCAATGGCCTGCATTAAATTTTATGCGGTGTTACCTTAATTTCTCACGGTCGATTTTTGATTTATAACGAATATTACGAATATCTAGAAAGCCTTTTCTTATTATATACGATCCCGCGATAAGAAAAAGCGCAAATGGAACTTAAAAGGGCTATAATAGGGAAGAGTACAACTTTCTTTATAAGTAGTATTATCAAATTTCATATGTTGCAGGAACTTGGAATTCACAGATCGTCGAGATCGTTAACTTTTTCACTTCGCAGGAGAGATCGTCGAATCTAAGGGGGTTAATTTACCTAAAAAAACTACAAAATAGATTCAGTATTTGGTACTTATGACCGAATAGACTTGCTTTACATGGTGGGATCTAGATCGCGTTACCCTACCGCAATTACTAATCATGTAACTTTTTTTCTGACAGGTTTAGCGAATGGAGGTATAAAATAAGCGATTTTTTCGTTTCTTGTTGGGTGGGTTATATTTTTTTACTCGTATATATTTTTATCTGACCATAATTATTTTTTAAAGTAATGCATATTTTATCCTGTCTTCTCGCAATTCTTGCTCGAAGCCAGAGACTAAGTGAGCACCTATTCTTACTGATGAGTGAACACTTTTTTCTTTTTTCGAGCTAGCGAGAAAAAATTATGAAACAGAATTTCTACTTATTATATTTTTTTATTTAGGAACGAAAAAATGAGCAGTAATAAAAAAAAGACCACCGCCCCCAAGACCCCCAGGACCAATAATAGCGCCACCCCCACGACTAATAACACCACCACTAATGATACCACCACCCCCACGACTAATAACACCACCACCCCTACGGCTAATGATACCACCACCACCATGAACAAGAAAAATAAAACCCCCAACTATTTTAAACCAAAACGACAATACAAGCCAAGACAATACAGGCCGAGACAATATTCGTGTAAGTAAACTTCGTGTGCATTCGCGCTGAAATATAATTATCTGAACTAAGTTTTTTATTTTACTAAAAAATAGATTATGATGATGATGATGATAGGGATCCCTGGGAAAAAATGTCAAAAGAAAGCTTATTGCGTGATGAAGAAAATGATGATAATTCTTGGCTGAATCCTGGTCAGCGGAAAGAAATGTTAGATCAAATGTAAACCCTACCAACATAGCCCATTAAGGGCGCCTCCTTGAGGCGTATATTTTTTGTATTTTTTTATCTGTATATTGTCGTCCCGGCAACAATTATTATGAAATAAAGAAGGGAGGTCCCGCGCCCTCGCCATTTTTTATTTTTTATTTTAACGCGATTTTTTACATGATTTTTTACAATGTAATTCTGTCTTCTCACAATTACTTGCTCGAGAACCCGAGCCAAGGAGTAGGTAGTCACTTTTGAACCCATGAAAGCAGAATTCAGACTCCGCGACTTCTCGTGATAAAATCACTCGAAGGCAGGTATCGGAGGAGTATGTTACCCGAGTATTTATTTATTAATAGATAAAGTAGGCAAGTGCGTATATTTATATAATAGATTACGCACTTGCCTACCCTAAATGCCATATTATACCCGAGTACCTATTGGCGCCAAACTGGATCCTCAAATCGTTGGGATTCCAGTATCGCGTGTTAATATGCGCTAATTAAATAATCAGAATTTTTATAAGCTTTTTTCCTGCCACTTAAATCATTGTCGTGCAGATCGTAAAAGAAAGGCGGGTGGAAGATAAGTCTTCTGCGTAATCTTTATATAAAATATACGCAGAAGACTTATCTTCGAAGGTATGTACTCAGGTATAGTGAAGCCATCTAGGGTATTCTTCTGCGTATTCTATTATATAAATATTGGCAGAAGAATACCCTAACACTGGTATGTACTTACCTATCATCATGTAAAAGCGCCTGGTTCGAAGAACCTCTTTGGCCCGGCTCTAATCAAGCAATTTCTTCACAAGAAAATGTCGTAGATTGGGTGGTTCGAGTCTATTGGCAGAAGACTTATCGATGATCGTATGTACTTGGGTATAAGTCTTCTGCGTAATCATTATATAAAATATTGGCAGAAGACTTATCATCAAAATAAACATCATCATAGTCGATATTGATCTCTGCCTTAGCTGGTGTGGATGATGAATGCCAAAAAAATACTCATATACAGATTAAATATATATCGTTATCAATACGATAAACAAATTCACGAAATACACATGCAAAAGTAAACGCAATTATGTATGCGAAATCAGCTTTATTGGTATAAAAAATAAAATAAAACAAATTACAAGATAAATAAAAATTATTCTGTGTCTGTGTCTACAGTTGAATAGTCTTCTTTTTGCTGTTCCGATGTAACTACCGGTGCAGAATATAATAAAGATAAGTTAGTAATTAAAATATTTCGCAAAACTAATAAAGTTTCTATAAATCTAGATACAACTCTTTCATCTGAAAATTGTACAGGAATTTCAACGGGTTGGAGATGATAGTATCTATGTACATTAACCTTATCTAGAACGAGAACATTCAAGTGAAATATATTCCCTGCTACTTGTACACCTACAATACCAAACTGTTCTTTAGCTGGATTGAGGCTTTGGCGTACCCAATAGAGGCCATCATTTGCCTCCCGCCATAATTTTATTTCATCATCTGTCTTTTTTTGTGGACTACAAAATAGACGGGAGCATTCGATATACATAAGTTCGAAAGTCGTTTCAAGGTAATTTCCTAACAACATAATATCTGGACGTCTTCCCCTACCCTCCTCCCCTTTTCTATTTGCGCTAGCAATACTTTGCTTTTCCGATGTACTGATAAAAAATGAATCTCCCACAGGAAGATTTTTTAAAGCAACTTGGATTAATGGTACAATCACGGTTGATTGATACGTTCCTTCATTTAATGTTCTTGCAACTTCAGGCCCGAATGCTGGGTTATTCCAAATGTTTTTCAGGACGCTTAAAATTTCTTTGACAACATGTGAAGTAGTTTCTTCGGATTCTTTCCAAGTTTTATTATGCGTCCATTTAGGCTTCATTTTTTCATCACACCTTCTAAAATCTTCTATAAATTCTTTACATATCTCTTGGACTATTGGCCTATGAGCCGGTACCATATCACGAAAAATTTTCTAAAATGAAATATGTATTATTAGCAGTGATGAAAAATACAACACCTATATGAAATTCCTTACATTAAATCCTTTTTTGATGTCCCTAGGAAGATTCTTCACTATATCTGATTCATCGCTGATAACTTGAGAAATATTTTTATTATCTTAGCAAAGTTAAGGTACAAGATGCGGAAGTTTATTGAATCTTTTATTTTTATTTTTACAGATATTACTAATAAGAGCGTAGAAGGATTGACTAAAGATTTTTCGATCCCTTTATATAAGATTTTACGGCTTAAAATCTGATTTGTTGTCTCTGTTAGTAAAGGCCAGAACATACTAGAAAAATGTTAATTACGTTATTATCGCAATATCAAAAAATATAGACGTGATTCTGATGTAAGAATTATTGAAGACCTGATTCAAAAAACTTAACAATACATGGTCTGGGTAAGGTAAGTGATGTTTATGAAAGCTAGTAGATCTGATGAATATTTACAATGATAACTAACACACCCGATCAGTATACACAAATACGTAGATTTTCATACAATTAACAACTGACTTCTGAAATAGCATTAAAGGGATATATGATCCTAACTTGCGTAATGGTACTCGATTTTGGTTGGATACCGGATATAATTTTACGCTCCAAGTATATTGAAAGATTAAGTCGCGTATCACTGATCATTGACAAATTTACCCCATTTTATTAACACATCATTCCATATATTGTAGGAGCTTCGGTATATAGACCTATCAAGCATATATATTCCATAGAATGCCCCAGGTAAGGAAAAGCATGTGACAGAAAATCAGAGACAATTTTCCGGCGGGGGGCTGAAAATTCAGATTCATCTCAGGCGCTGCTTTTCAACCAATATTTTTTCTTGGCAATTTATGACAATTCAGGTGAAAGCATCTAAGGCGCGGAAAAATTATAGATCATATGTCAATTGATTAGCGCTTTCGCCCCTGGCATCATGAGCCCGAAATCCATAATTTCCACTGCCTTCTCGCGCTCGAAGTCAGGCCCACCTGAACACCTATTTATCTGGCTTCGAGTGATTTATCATGAGAAGACAGAATATTTTCTCTTTTTTCTGGCGCGATAACAAATTTTTTAGCTGAAAGCATGTGACTGGACAATGTCTTCTGCCATTATTTCTTTGTTTTCTGTTGCTGTCATAATTTCTATGTTTTCTGGCTGCCATAATTGCGGCAAATAATTGTGGTTAATATTTGTGGCTTCCGATACCATTGTTATTTTGCGGCTTCCGTTATACGGATTGATGCCAAAAGTGAGCGAGTTATGTTTCATAGATAAAATGGTGGCAACAGAAATCATAGAAATTTCGGCGGCAAGAAAAACAGAAAATAATGGCGGCGGCTTCAGTTATTATCGATATTATGGCGCGACCTCGGGTCTTACCTTCTGATTTAGTTGTAATTATTTGCGTCTTTTGGACGCTTTGATTTATTTGCGGCGACAGAAATCATTGATATATTTGCGGTAAGTGGAAGCATAGAAATATTTGTGGCTTCAAATAACAATAATATTTTTGTGGAAATATAATTCATAGAAAATTCGGCGCTTTCATTTTGTGCCAACAGAAAGCATAGATATTTTTGCGGCAACAGAAGGCGCCAAAATATCTGAATTGCGCCTTATTCGAAATTCCTATTAATGCTATTGTTGGTTGGCGGCTAAATTTCTAAGTTTTCAGATGCCACTATTTTATCTAAGTTATCAGTTAGCGCCTAAATTTCTAAGTTTACAGTTGGCGCCTATAATTCAATGATTTCTGAAGCCCGCCATTTTATCAATGATTCCAGAAGCTGCCATTTTATTATTTATGTTTCCCATTTGCCACAAAAATATCTATGCAATCAGAAGTCGCCATTTATTATCTATGTTTACAGTTGGCGCCAAAATTTCTATGATTTTGATGCTACCATTTATGTTTCTAGTTGGCGCCAAAATTTCTATGATATCAGTTGGCACCTAAATTTCTTTTGTTTTTCAGAAGCCACCATTTATTATCTATGAATTCAGTTGGCGCCTAAATTTCTATGTTAACTGAAGGCGCAAATTATCAAAGCTTCCAGTTACCGCAAAATATCAATGATATTTTCGCAGCTTCAGAATTTATTGATTTTGGCGGCTTCAGAATTTATAGATATATTTGCAGCAACAGGAAGCATAGATATATTTCCATTATTTCAGAAGCCTCCATTTAATCTATGTCATCTGTTGGCGGCTAAATATCTATGTTTCCAGAAGCCGCCCATTTAATCAATGATAACTGTTGGCGCCCAAATATCAATGTTTTCCAGAATGCGCGGCTCCATTTTTGAATCACATGATTCATTTGATCGCCTCGTTTTCGTGAATTTT